TAAGTATGGCATTTCCAAAGCCATTCATCCTAAATTAGCTAGAGCTTTTGAAGAAACTGACACAAATTAGTACAGCCACTGAGGTGCAGAACCAGGGTTTAATCTCAGTTTGATACAACCCTAAAGGAGAAGCATCTGTCTCAGGATCACCACCTTCTTTGTGATCTCACTTGGGTCTTGATGCTTGGGCCAAAATCCTGCTGAGAAAAGAAAATAAAGCACCTTTTTGCTGTTAACTGATTGTCCTTGGGTGTAGAAAAGTGAAGAAGTGTATTTCTAGTGTTTCCAGAAAATAAGGAGATAATGCTAGATTTCAGGAAAAGAAGACCAGAAAATGATCCCTACCCAGGCAATGGCCTGGTAGACCTGGTAGATCATGCTTACTCTTCCAATGACAAGTGTAAGAATTAACACATGTGCATGCAGGCATGTGTGCATGCATGCATGTGCACACACACACACACACACACACACACACACACACACAGCTCTTTAAAGGTAAGTGAAACCACACACTGTCTAGCTGGCTCTAAAGTGGATACTCTTTCCACTACACTAAGCTTCCTAACAAACCACCCTCAGAAGTATCTGTTCCCTGCCAGGGGACCCATTTCTCTATCACAACTTCCCATGGATGCTCTAATAACAGGGTTACAAATAACAAGAACCACGTCAGCTCCTTCTCCCCCTTTAGTGCCAGGAAATGAACCTGAAAATATACGTTGTTTTCCCTGCATCAAATTCCACTCCTGCAACAGGCATCACTTGACAAGTGGTATGTGTAGTGGCACAATCCAATAAAAGGAAATGAAGAAAATAACTTTATTTTCACTACTTCCACCCCTTATTTGAATTGTGAATACTCTAGTTACATCTCACACATAGCCTGCCTAGAAACACATTTTATGATGAAGTATATCTGGTGTGACTTGTATTTGAAACCACCCTGGCTTTTATCAGCCCAGGGTAAAGAACCAGGTGACAGGCTTATGAAAAGCTCTAATGGGGCTCTGAACTTTCTTTACACCACTCTTTCTCGTGGTAGGTGACACACATTGCCAGGCATTCTCTTTCAGGAAATAAAACAGCTGCCCTAGGAACCAAATCTTGCCAAAGGCAGAAAAGTTCTTCTATTCTGTAGTATCATGAAATGATGCAGGAAATGTACTTATGATATAACATCAGGTAACAAAGGAAGACATAAAGTGGTCTCAATAGTATGACTCAACCACACAGTATTCCAGAAAGTCAGTCCAGAAGGAAGTAACTTAGAATGTCAATGGCAGCTATTTTTGCTTCATGAGACTATACATGATTACTTTGCTTCTTTTATTTCAGTAATAAGCACATATGGCATCCAGAAAGTTAAATGAAATTACTAAAAAAAGGAAATACCTTTTTTTGCCAGAAAGCAGACTACATATGATTCTGTCTTTGCTTCTACCAACACCTTTATATGAGGACGTAACTCTGACTAATACCAGACACAAGGTTTTCTAAGAAAACAAAGTTGCACACCAATCCTGTTGAAGAACATAGATAAAAGGACATTCTTAACATTAAATCAAATATAGCAGGGGACAGAAAACAATACACTGTAAGCAGTAAAGTGGACCCCAGAAATGAAAGTTAGAAAATGTGCCACTTAAATATACCATAATAAAAATTTTTAAAAAATAAAAAAATATACATATACAGGTAACCATTGAAATAAGTACAGAATATACATGTGATAAAATCAAATGTGCAAAAATACTTCCTAGAAAATACATTAAAATGGACTAATAATGAATCTTTAGTAAAAACTTAAATATTACACTTAAATATGTTGAGAAGCATTTTCATTAATTCACAAACAAGTATACCAACTATCATTAAATACTGTACTGACAGCCTAGCCAATGCAATGAGATAAGAAAAACAGATTAAGTATTTAAGGACTGAAATACACAGAAACTTAACTGCGCGTATATACTGTAGGTACAGAAAAATCCAGGAAGTGCAGAAGAAAGTAAAAGAGTTCAACAACATTTTACATTCAGAATTCAAGATCAACCTATACACTGCTTATTCCTTTTAAAGCTCTATACATTTTGACCAAGTCAGCAACATTTGTTTAGCAGAGTAGTTAAAACTCAAGAATGAATCAGCAATGAGCTAGTATGGTTCCTACAGTTCACTTTCTCTTTTTAATGGGTGCATGTGATTCCATGGTACCCTGGTCCGGACAAGTAATCTGGAATAAGAACTGTTTATCACTGTTGCACAATTACAAACAATTGTAAAATGGGGCTGTGCAACAAATCAATAATATACTTTTTCAGATCTCCCAACTATACAATGGGCTGGAAGAAGAAGTGATGAGGAAGAGGAAGTGGAGGAGGAGGAGGAGGGCAGAGAGGGAGGGGAAAGAAGTGGTACATGACAGACTAAATATTCAGGTCCCAAATGAAGTTCTGTTGAAGCTGGAAACCTAGTGAGCTGGTGGAGAACAGGAGGCTGGGGAAGCAATTAGGGTTAGATGAGGGTGGGAGGGCGGAGCCCTTGTGATAGGCACAGGGGCCACATAAGGACAGGGAAGTAGACAGGGATGGAGGAAGGAGGGAAGAGGAAAGGGTTCTGCTCTTTGTCTTCCTGGTGAGCACACAGCTAGAAGGCAGTCATCTAGGAGCCAGGGAGAGCTCACCATGGGAATGAACTTGGGTGGCATCTGGATGGGATCTTAGGCTTCAAGCTGCTGGGTCCATGAGGAATGCCTTTTTGTTGCTTAAACCACCAGATGTGTGGCTGACTAAATACGATGGATGATGGGAGAAGAAAAACAGGGAAAAGAGGGAGTGGATGAAGGAAAATGGCAGAGAAGAAAAGGTAAAGAGGAATAGGACAGAAAGAGGGGGGGAAAGGGAGAAAAGAGAGGAAGACTATAGATAACCTTTATTGAGCATTTAACATATGCTGAGTTGTGCAGTGTTTTATTTACTTTATATTTCAATTAATCTTCATGGTGAACCCTGAGGTCTCTTATCACATCCTCATTTTATAGAAGAAAATGAGGTTCAGAGAAATGAAGAAGTCACAGAGTAAAGGTGTAGCATAGCTGGAATATGAACCTAGGTCTGCCTTCCCAGACCTGGTGGCATTCACTACATATATTTATTCTCATTTTAAAGCTTCCTGGGAGGTGAAAATGAGGAGTTTCCAAAAGGGTCACCTTCACTATCCCCATCCCAAATTTCCAACTAAGCCAGTGTCCTGAAAACTTGAATCCTCTCTTTAGAATGCTTCTGATTTTGCATGTTAAAATTAATAATGAAAAACATGCACTAACATACAGTTTTTAATGCATTAAGCATTTAAGAGCACAGGTTTAGTGGAAAGGTCAAATTTGAAGCAAAATATAACTTGTCAGTTCCAACTGAAAAGGCATTTGAATTCCAGCACACACCAGTTCTCCGCACCCTTTCCTGCTTCCCACATAGCCCTCTCTCAAGAGCTGTTCTCCCGGCCACCTGCTTGCTTTCTGTCATTCTTAGACCATGGTGCATAAAAATCCAAGGTTTCCATTAAGTTATAGCCAATAAAATAGACTTCCTCCAAAATATCTGTATTTCAAGGGGCTGGGGATTTAGCTCAGCAGCACAGCACCTGCCTGGCAAGTGCAAGGTCGTGAGTTCGGCTCCCGGTACCGGAAAAAAAACAAAAAACAAATAAACAAAAAAAACCCAAAACATCTGTATTTCAAATAAACATGAAAAACAAAATTTATGGTGCTTCCTGGGGTTTTGGTAGTCCAAGAGCTGCATAGGTATCACATTTATGTCCCCTCCTTCGTGCAGAGTGTCAGACAAATGCCCTCACAAAATATGACTGGGCAGGCACAGTGACACTGTGAACAAGTCTCTACTCTACAAAGTGGCCATAGGCATCCTGGTTTGCAAACCCAGGTGGACAGATTTCAAGACCTGAAAGAGAGTTTTCTGAATCCCTGTCCTTGCAACTGAGACGACAGGATAGGGGGAGTGTGACACCACAGAGAGAAAACACACACACACACACACACACACACACACACACACACACAGATGGTTTACTTCTAATTACAATAAGGCACAGGCTCACTAAAAAGCAGGGTCACAAAGCTAAGGAACCAAATTCTCCCCAAAACATTTAAAATGACTGTCACTTATTTATTACTCCAGGCTTGAGAATCTGTCAAGCATCCGTCAGCATCTGTCCAGCACTCTGTGACCTACACGGGACTTACACCATGAATAAGAGCACCAGCTCTGAAGGAGTTTACAACATAGCCAACCCACAAAACACAGCACATTTTAATAAAGTGAAAAGTGAAATACTATCAATGTGCTACCAAAGGGGGGTGAAAAAACAGAAGCCACTAACACAAACTGAGAATAGGGACAGGCTCTGACAGAAGGCTCCACTAAAATCAACCTGGTAGATGAACAGCACAGAAAAAGTAAAGAACAAGAACAAGACTGACAGCGATCGACCAGTAGTTCTCAAAGTGTGGCCTCTGGGCCTGCAGGACCAGCGTGACCTAGGAACTTGTTAGGAACACCAAGTCTCAGGCTGTCCCAGACTCAGAATCAGAAATTCCAGGGAAGGGCCTCAGCAGTCTGCACTTTAAGAAGCCCTGCAGGAGACTGGTACTGCAGAAGCTGGAACTCGTGGGCACCTGCAAAGGTGAGACATAACAGACAGACTGCCTGGAGCGTTAGCCTTGGAGGAGCCGGAGGAGCAGGGAATGGGATACCAGAGGGATGGGTAGAAGACATTCAGAAGGGGTTTGTGTATTAGAAAAATTATTTTGAATTTTACCTAGGGAATAAGAGAGAGCCATTAAAATACAATGAACAATAAAACACCAAGTAACTTTAAAAACAGGCAATCTTAAGTACACTTCTTTATATCATTCCAGAGACAAAAATCTCATGCTTGCACAGAATGAGCCATGAAGAAACCAGCAAGTTTGGCCCTACCTTTCTTTCTGGAGTCTTTCTTGGCGCTGGTTTTCACAGCTACTTGAAGTTCTGTCTCAGTTGACATCCTACTTAATCCTTAGTCCACTTCACACAGCTCCCGGGCCGCGGCCAGGCTCATTGAGGATCCTCTCCAAGAGAAAGGCTCCTCCCTTCAGAAACAACACCCCGAGCTGGACATGTCATTCACTCTTGCGGAGCGCTGCAAACCAAGGAGAGACGACATCAGAACAGTAGTCCTTTTGAAGTAAAACAGAAATCACAGGCATGAGGTGAATGGGCAACCACACTGGAACAAAGAGACCATGGGCTTTATGTGCAAACTGCCCACATAGCTTCATAAAGCCGTTGGGTGGGTTGCTACAAACAAGAGCAGCTTATCTGCAAAACTTCTTTTCACACTAGGTAACGAAAAAGAGATCTTTAACCTCTGAATTTTCAAGAGGGGCAAAACCGCCCTCTTTATGTCTCATGTTTCTTCTTGTCAAGCACCAGATGCCACCCGGAAAATATCACAAAGACATATTTCCTGACCAGGCCCATAGAGACATTGCCAAGGATAGGGCAGCCATTCATCAGCCAAGCTTGATCAGAGTCCGGGCAGAAGGGAGTGACCTGCGGTCTGCCTGCACCGGCAGGCACTGGAGGGGCACAGAGTTGATACGCATGTAGGCTCCGAGGGTAAGGTGACAAATGGGGCTGAAAAACTTTCCAACAAGCCAATTTTTATGTCATCTTTCCCCCAGCTATAAGAGCAGACAAGCATTTAATGCAAGGAGAAAAAGGAAAGAAAAGGAGCAGGCAGACACATGTTTCATTCATTCCCTAATAAATATGCACTGCACAATACCAGGTACTATTAAGTTCAGGCAAAGCTTGGAGGAGAATATGATAATTACAATAGCACACTCACTTCAGTTACAGCTGGTATTTACTAGGCACCGACTGGATACTATGCTCTCAGTCGCCGCTTCACATACATTATCCCATTTGATCTCCTTTAAATTGAATACATTCAATCTCTTTGTCACTGGTCTTTCTCAATGACTACCTGTCTGACAGTTATATCTCAGAGCCCCACTGAAAATAAATATATCACTCTTACCCACATGTTAAAAGATGTTAAGAAAAAATACTAGAGATGGAGAAATGGATCTTCAAATTGCATAGTCAATTCTGAACTCACTCCACAGAATTACAACTGTGTGATCTTGTGGAGCTGACCTGGAATGCTAGTTTTGGCTCAGAAAGAATAATGACCCAAACCTCATCATCGTGACAATTAAAGATGGCTTACCTGGAAGGTCTCACGTAAAGGCTACATGAAATTAAAATAAAGTTTAAATATGAGGAAATTTCCACGGACCAAAGACAACTGATTGGGATTTTTGGTTTAATAAACTATTTTTTTAAAAGGACACTGTATGAAAGTATGTGTACAACTAAAGAAAGCAGAAACCTATCTTCACAGAATGAGGTCCATGGAATCGTCCACAGAGGACAAGGACGTCTGCCGTATCTGGGCCGGGAGATGACGGTCTCAAACTTGCTCCTCTATAGACACAATTGATTTTATCAGGAATATTTATCATTTTACTTAAACAAATACTAAGAATCTACACTGGCTCCATGCTGTCCATATTTACTGAGCAACATGCTGGCCAAGAGGATACAGTCAAAGTCTGGCTCCTGTCCTTAAGGAAGCTCAGTCTGGCAGAGGCGTCAGTCACATGGACAGTGACACATACATGCAACCAGAACTAAAACAGGCACAAACACCAGGTATACTAGGGGCAAAGGCAAGGATTCACCTTTGATTAGAAAAGTCAATAAAGCTGCATACTGGATAAGCCCTGCTCTGCAGGACCATGAAGAATAATGCTTCTGTCATGGGTAAGGAAAGGACCAAAAGGTTCTCAACAAGTGCATGTAGAATCAATGAAGTGAATGAATGAATGAAGGATTGTTTTAGGCAGAAGCATCGACATGTGTGAAGGCAAGAAGTCTTGAAATCAACAAAATCAAAATAATAAAAGGAAGCACAAGTGTTGTAGGGATGTAATACACTTTCCAGTCCTCTCATTTCTTCTTTGTGCTGCTGTCTTCCCATGGAATCCCTTTCGTCAAGTCTGCCCCGACCTTCTACCAAACTCTCAGAGTTCAGCCCAAAGACAAATTTTAAGCAGAGAGATATCTTCGCCCTCTACTAACATGAAATCTCTATCTGTCATAGGACCTTGGTCACATTCTTGGTCTTAGCCATTGAGCCACTACACAATATTGAGGAGGTCATTCTACTCTTCCCTCAGGTCCTGCATCTGTACTATGGGACAAGTACTGCCGAATCCATGGAGGTGTTGTAAAAAATAAGGAGGCTCACAAATGCACAGTAACTGGAAGAATATCTGGCACACCTTCAAGCATACACTTAATATTGGGTACACACTTTCCTGAGTTACTTAACCACACATGTCCTGATCACCTCTCCTATTTGGACTTTACAGAGCCAGCAACTGAGAAGGTAAGGCAGCTTCCTGAGTACAAATTACAGATGTGATAGCATCTAAGATCTTTCCGTCATGCTTATCCTCTACACAGTAGGTGTTTAATTAACATATACAGGAAAGAGCTGAAATATATGGATTTTACACAAATTTTAGGGTTCTCAAAACCCAGTATGTAAAAATAGATTGGATTTGGACCATTTTCTCTCTTTCAACTTTAAAAACCAGACTAGAGCACCTCTCAATCTTCCATGGTTATACCCAGAGTCACTTGCTTGTCAAACCATGATTCCATTTAACTGTTACGTATGTTTTTTGTGGAGTCTGGAAGTATAATTCTGTATCAGTGATGAAAGGAAACACCAGCATCGTTCTGAATATAAACATTAAAAAGGAAGCTGCAGCAGAGAACGTACACAGCATGAGCTCTGGTATCCCCTTTAATTTTCCAAAAGCCAGAGGTTGAGCAAGTGCTGTGAAATAACTCCAAATTATTTAGGAAATTCATTTCTTTGTAATTAAGGAGATTAAAGTCCTCCAGGGCCAGAAACCATGTGACAACTCAAATCATTTTCCCCAGTAAAAGCTGTGAAACCCTATCAGTTAAATTCAGGCTCGTCTAGAATTTTGAAATGCTTCAATAATGTTTCTTTGCTCCACACAATCTGCAGTAATTTAATATTCCTGAAGTGTGTCAGGTTTTTTATAATGAGCTCTTCAAATCTAAATGTGAATTATGTAACATTCCACTACAGACGCTCTGTCTAGTGAACTGCTTCTAAAATGTAAAATCCCATGTTCAGGGATGCGGTGGAAGCCCAAACACCAAACCACAAGCAGAGAAAACAGATATATCTTTTTTTTTTTTAAAAAAAAAAAAAGCATGAAGGTTTCTGCAGCTACAACAGAACACACTCAGACACATACTACAACACAAATTTGTCTTCTGTTTTCTCTCCCCAGCCTCCCCTCCTATGATCCTACAGTGAGTCTGCTACTGTTTACTGAGGAACCCTTATTTATCAGGGCCTATGCTATGAGCCTGGCAAACACTTCTCATTCAATCCCTCAACCACTCTAAGAGGTAGCTGCTATTATTATCTTCAGTCAACAAATGAAGAAAGTGGGACGCAAGCCAATTCAGGAACCTGTCTGTGATCACATGACCAGTAAGCAGCATAGCACAAGGCAGAGCACAAGCCACTTCCCCATCCCAATTTTATTCCACCTCCTATGCCCATCAGTGGATGAACGAATAAGCAAATGTACAATATTATCCATCTTCAAAAACCTACAGCACTGATACGGGCTACAACATAGGTGAACCCTAAAATACCATGCAAAAGGAAAGGAGTTAGACAAAGAGAGACTGCATATTATATGACTCCATTTTCATGAAATATCCGCAAAAGACAAACCCATGGAGACAGGTCAGGGTGTCAGGGCCTGACACCTGAAATCAATTAGGGTGAGTGTCTGCTTGATAGGTACAAGGTCTCCACTGGAGTGGAGAAAACACTTTGGAGCTACACAGAGATGATGTTAGCAAACAACCATCTCTAATAAATGTAATAACTTTAAAATGGGTGCCTTCATGTTACAGGAATTTCACCTCAATGAAAAAAACAAAAACCAAACCTCCTTCCACCTTGATATAAGCCTTATGTGATACACAAAGGACAATGCAAATTCCAGCATAAAAGGGCAAGGCAGCCCTGACACCAGATGGGGAGAGAGGCCCTCAGACCTTGGCTGAGGGTCCACTTGGCAGCAATCACATGCACTAATTAACACCTGCACATCACTATCTGCATGCTCTGTGACGTGGGGCCTCTTATTCAGCTGCAGCCAAAGTATAAAGCCTAGAAATCAAGCCATTTATCAGCAAGTCCCACAGATTTGCAACAGCACCACTAGGTACAACAGACATGGGCACTTGCAAAGCACTTAAAAAGCCTAGCTCAACCTACTGCCTGCTACCTTCTGTGTAAGAATGGAGATGACATAAATCTATAGGACTTATCTGTACCAACAGAAGCACGGGACAAATAAGCCAGAACACAGTGCATCTGTTTTTCAGAGGGGGATTCTGGGTGGGGCAGTGACTGGTCAGAGAGGAGGAGAGATGAGGTACTGGCTGAGACAGGGCAGAGTAAAGCTTTTCATATAATTTCCACATTTTGAAGCATATTAATGTATGCTATACCTAAAAAATTAAATTAATAGGAATAGAAAGGGGGAGAAATCTTAAATCTGAAAGCAGATGGAAGTATATTAATTCAATTGTATGTGCCACAAACATCATAAGCATGCTTGCTGAAGGGCTGGGGAGCAAAAACTAATCAAGGAAAATATGAGCACAGAATTGGACACATGCACTCAGTTCTAGGCAGGCTTAGGCAGGAGTGACAATCCCAAATACATTCTAGTAGGCCTAGTTTTTTGGGTAATGGGACAGGCAAAACAATCCTGAACTGACTTTAGACGTATTAGAGGATTGCCCTAAGGGAGTAACTGCATCGATGTTCTTAGGAGCCTCGGTCCTGACTGTGGAACAAGAGAGGTTAAATTATGGAAAGAAGAAAGCAAGATGGAATACTATAAGACAGAGGCAAATTGGAGATCTCAGGGGAAACTCAGGATTTATAAAACATACATGCATCTGTATACGGATGTATACATGTATATGTTTATCTGA